TGGCTGGGGCCAAGGCATTTCTACCCAGCTCCTGGGCCACAGTCTTTTTGTTTTGCTCCCTAAGCTGCTACTGCATCATCCTCGTCCTGTGTTTACTGAACTCACCTATCTCAACATCTGCACTGGCCCTACTGGCTTCTCAACATCCAAGAGTCTCCTTCCTCAGTTAAGAGTAAGAATTTGCGGACCGCTGGTTAGCTTTGAGCCAGCCGTCTATCTCTTGACCCAGTTAGTTGTAGCCTTGGGGATGGAAAGGGAGGCACAAAGTGGGAGTGTCTAGCATACTCCCTAGAATCTGAGGACAACCAGGGCTGCCTGGCATAAACCATACCCTCCAGAGATATCAGATCATGCCACTTCTCCCAAATAGACCTTGCTCTTTCATCCACTCCCTTGCATTGTTTTTCCTGCCCGAAATATACTTTCTTCAAAGCCCAGCTGCAGGACATTCACACTGTTGTGCAACCATCACCTCCAGTTCCAGAACATTTCATCACTACAGAAAGAAACCCCATACCCGTTAGCAGTTGCTCCACATCCTCGCCCCCACCCCAGCCCCAGGCAGCCACTCATGTTTTCCATTCTCTCAGGTATGGATCTAGAACTGGATATTGGATATATTGCAATTTCTGGGTTATATGGCAATTCTAAGTTTAAGTTTTCAAGGACCTGCCAGAATGTTTTCAAAAGAGGCTGCACCACACTGTACCTCCTCATCAGCAAGGTAGGAGGGAGCCAGTTTCTCCACACTCTTGCCAGGTCTTGTCTTTTTTTTTTTTTTTTTTTTTTTAGCCATCCTAGTGGATGTCAAGTGCTACCTCATGTATCAGCCTTTTCTACCTCACACTTTTTTTTTTTTGAGACAGAGACGGAGCATGAGAGGGGGAGGGGCAGAGAAACAGGGAGATACAGAATCCGAAACAGGCTCCAGGCTCTACCTCACACTTCAAAGCCCAGTTTAAATATGACCACCGTGTAACTTCCTAACCTGCTCCAGAACAGGTTGGTACTCCGTTCTCCATTAATACCACCATTTATGTATTGGCGCTGACTTATTACCATTCCTGAGCACCCACGATATGCCAAGTACTTTTCTAGGCGAAGATACAGTGAATGAAACCAAAAATCCCTGTGCCTTGTGGAGCTGGTGGAAAGAGACAAAGTCTGTGAAACAATCATTAGTGCTATGGGGAAAACTAAAGCATAGACAGACAACAGAACATGCCAGTGGTATGAGGGGGGCAATTCTAAAGTGAAGGTCATGGAAGGTCTCACTGAAGTTAACAGTTGAGAAGGAATTGAAATTGTTTTAACTATGGAACATCCATGAGAGAGGTCAAGTAGGCTTTGAATGATGGGTCTGGAGTCCAGAGAATAGAGTCCAGGTAAATACGGCAGACGTGGAGATCATGAAGAACCAGAACTTCAGACTGAGATGTGTCTGCTCAACTAGGTGAGAACTCAGAGTATGAGATCTGTTCTAGAAGGCAAAACACTCGTGTTCACTTTCTATTGCAGCTGCAACAAATTAACGCTAACTTAGTGGCTTAAACAACACAAATCTATCATCCTACGTTCTGCAGGATGTCCCAAGATGTTGGCCTAAAATCAAGATGTTGGCAGGCTGAGTTCCTTTTTGAAGACTCTAACAGAATGTCCCTTAATTTCTCCAGATTCTAGAGGCCCCCTTCCTCAATCTTCCAAGCCAGCAACACTGCATCTCTCAGACCATTCTTCCTCAGTCCCATCTCCTTCTGACTTCAGCCAAGGAAGATTCTCTGCTTTTAAGGACTCATGCAATTAGACTGGACTCACCCAGATAACCCAAGATAATCTCCCCATCTCAAAACCCTTAATCTCAGCCATAAAGTCCCTTTTACCATGCAACATATTTATAGGTTCCAGGGATTTAAACTATGAACATGGGGTAGTGGGTTGGTATTTATTCCTCCTACCACAGTAAATGAAAGCATTTCAAAGTGATTAACCATGTTCTATGCTAACATGTCAAAAAAGTTAAGGATTAAGAACTGACCATTGGATTGGGACGCCTGGGTGGCTGAGTCAGTTAAGCATCTGACTTCTGCTCAGGTCACGATCCTGCAGTGGAGTTCGGGCCCCACGTTGGGCTCTACGCTCTACGCTGACAGCTCAGAGCCTGGAGCCTGCTTCAGATTCTGTGCCTCCTCCCTCTCAAAAATAAACATTAAAAAAAATTTTTTTTGACCACTGAAAAAGTGCCATGGTGCTTCTAGTGATCATTACGTGGGCACTTTCAGTGGAATCAAAATCCTCATTGGAATGGGTTCAAAAGACACAAGCAGAACGTACAGTTACGTAACTTTTGAGTTTTGCTATAAAGAGCAGACAAAGGGGGTGAGTGTGGATCAAACAGGATTTTAACATGGAAGAAATAATAGTACGTTTGTAGGCTGACAGGAATGATCTAGCAGAGGTAAGTTAATGAGCAGAAGGAAGATAGTTGTATCTGGGCCCTTTGAATTGGGATGGAATCTAGTACACAAGTGTTAGAGCTTGCCTAAAGAAGTGCCAGGACAATCTGTCCACATAACTGAAGGAAAGACAGAACATACAAGCAGAGATGCAGGCAGGTAAGTAGATGCCATCAGACAGGAGCCTGTGGAAATTCCCTTGTTTCTATTTTCTTCGTCTGGGGGTTGCGGGGAGGCTGTGGGCGCTGGGGAGAAGGCCACAAACTAAATGGGGAAAGAATGAACATTTAATTGTTCTCGAGGAGAGCCCAAGTAAATAAAAGAGAAAGCAGGATTGTCAGATGACACCAAGAGTCTATCTGAGGTCACAACTTTAAACACAGACACAGAGTTAGCATGTCCAGTTGCACAAGGGCACAAGTGCAAATAAGGTGGCAGACTGAACTTAACCAAAAATGGAGGTTAGCCAGGCAAGCATAACGAAGCAAGAGATGCGGCAGGGCAATTTACTGGGTAGCCAAGAGTGAATGCAACGACAGACCACTAAATATAAGCTAGAACAGAAGGTGGGAAATTTAAGAGGGAGGAGGCTCAATAAACTGTAAGTCAAGCAGTACTGTACCCAAAACTCTGCTTATTCTGTTCTTGACATCTACACATCTATCACCTCTTCTAAACTAAGGTCCTCAAAGTGGGAACAGTGTCTTGTCTTCTCGTTCTTAGTACCCTAGCAGATAAGCTTGTTTTCTGAATGGATGGATGGACGCTGACCCATGGTTTGAAGGAAATTCCCCACCCTCAGTCCTATGATATAAAGTTCCTCCTTCCTTACTGTTCTTTAAGAGTTCAAGTAAAAAGTTGCAATGCTTCATCAAAACCTGTGGTATAAACAAATCCCTTGGTCCTAAAAGCCAGCAAGTTATTGGGAACCCACCTCTTCCCCAAGTAGCTTAAAAAAAAAAAATCCCAGGGCGCCTGGGTGGCCTCGTCGGTTAAGCGTCCGACTTTCGCTTAGGTCATGATCTCGCGGTTCGTGGGTTCGAGCCCCGCGTCGGGCTCTGCGCTGCCAGCTCAGAGCCTGGAGCCTGTTTCAGTCTGTGACTCCCTCTCTCTCTGACCCTCCCCTGCTTACGCTGTCTCTCTCTCCTAGATATAAATAAAAAAAAAAAAATTAAAAAAAAAATCCCTTGGAACAAGACAAGATGCTGAATTCCTACGGTGTGCCCAAGAAATGAACCACGAAATGTGCCAGATGTATCCCAACTGCAGTTAAGTTTGCTGTACTGAACTTCTGGGTGGCATGAAATCTTTGAACTTCCCAACCTCTAATTATTTCACCTCCTTGCGGTAATTAGCAGGCACCAGAACAGGCCCCAAGAATACCCAGTTTTCTAAGGAGACATATGTGAAATTCAACCTGGGGTGGAGAACAGCACACAGACAAAGAGCATGTAAAATATGTTTTATTGTTCTTTAAAAGGGTTCAGGGTTTGGTTTTAGATCAGGCTGCACACCTTTCATCAGTCTGACATCTCTCACCATGTCAAACCGGCTTCAGCTAGCAATACTTCATTAAATCCAAAAGAAAAAAAACTTTTTTAATTTTGAGGAAGAAAATCCAGTTCTGAAAACAATTAACATTAGTATGTAATTTAAAACAAAATGAGGGATAACGTTTCTTGTCGCTTTAGACACCCTTCTCCTCATACAGAACCAGGAATGTAATTTTCCTAACTCAGGCAGGCACTGATACTGCTGGACACTGCACACACATATACACACAACTCACACACACGTGCGCGCGCACACACACTCCCCACAAACAACAAAAATCAGAGCATGTCAAAGGGAAAAAGCTTGTTATTATATTGATCAAAACCCCTGGAGTCACCAGACAGTCTGGGTGTAGATGGTATGCTGTTTTGATCTTGAACCTATGTTAATGGAGTCTATTGTCATGTTCTGAAATAAAGAATTTTGGAGAGTACCATCATTTTTCACTTTAAAATTCTAGAAAACAATTTCAAAAAGCATTATTTTGTTTTGTTTTGCTTTGTTTTCTGGGACAGGGGAGGAGAGAATCTACAGATTTTCATTTAGTTAAAAATCAAAACAACTCCGGCATAGGAAATAGGCAGTTCACACAGCCAGCCAACGTCTGAGGTATCATCAGTGTGAGACAAGGTCCCGGTCCATTCCTACTGGCCTAGCTGATCCTAAAAAAATGGGAAGTTCATGGCTCTGCATCACAAATTCCAGCAAGACAAGATGACCCTAAGCCTTTACTCAGATCCTCAGCAGCAGAGCACTATTAAGTAATGTTTAGATGAAGGGTGCAAGAGCCCTGGATGGTGTCCTTCAACTTGCTTTGTGAGTGCAGCCCGGTCACGAATGCTTTCTGCAAAAGAGCAGAAAGACAGCTTCTCTAGATCAGCACATTGAACCCAGCAAAGAATCTGTAAAACTGATACTACACCAATTCATCAACAACACAGTCCCTTTGCTATTCACTGGGTTGCTTTATGTCTGCCTGCTACCCTGGATGGCCTGTGGACACGTACTCACTAGGCATTGTTGGTTTTGAACCAGCGATTTTTTTTTTAAATCTCATAAAGAACCTAGTAAGAAAATAACAAGGCAATCAGTGGTTAAACTTAACTGTACATAGATGGGATAGTTTGACAAAAATGCATCACAGGCATTTGCCGAGTCCAAAATATCCTATCTTTGCTGTCACTCCTTCCACCGTTCTTGAAAAATTCATCATACGAGTAAATCCCAAATAAAACTGCCAAACTATCAGCATTCTCCGACATCATGAGACAGAAAATCGGAGTAATGCTACGACCCACAATTCTAGGAGATGTACAGAGTATGGTAACTCTCTACCTGGACGCATCTTTAGTGACGGCCCGGAGCGCTCACTCCCCTTCAGAAAGCCAAAGTTTCTGGGAGACCCACTTAGCTTCATTGGTTGGAAAAGAGAAGAATTCGACTCTCAGCTAAGTTCTTTGAGAAGAAAGACTCTTCTTAAAATGCCATTTCCCCACTAATTCACCAAAACCAAAACAAAAGGCTCTTGGCTACGTTGCCTAATGTTGAATAGGGTTTCCAAGAAAAGAAACTAACATGAACACCCCATCATCAGTAAAGACTAAAAACCACCTGGCTCATATAATACATATGCCACTGCTTTTTTTTTTTTTTTTTTGGTGTTTTTTTTTTTTGTTTCTTTTTTTTTTTCATTTGTTTGTTTGTTTTTTCTAAAAGTGCCCAGGTGGGCTTAAGGCTGCCAGACTGCACACACGTCTACAGCAACAAGGGCTTCTCCTAGTCCATCTACGACTTATATCAGGGGGGAAAACGAGGAATGGGGAAAGAGAAGAAGGGAAAAATACAAGCCCACCACCACCGAAAAGAAAAAAAAGAAAAGAAAGGAAAAGAAAGGAAAAGAAAAGAAAAGAACTCACAACAGGGAGATCTATGTGCCAAGCATAATGGAAAAGTGTGCTCCCCAAACAGATGGTTCTGCACAGGCTAATGTTCTGCTGGTTTTCCTTAGAGACCTAGTTTGAAAAGTTAAAAAAGACAGGGGATTTGATATAATTCAATCCTGACAGAAATTCAAACTCCCAACAATTAGGAGCAAAATCATCCTTCACTGAATTAATCCTTTTTTTCTTTCTTTTTTTCTTTTCTTAAACATTTTATTCACGTTATAGAGGGATTTCTTTTTTGTTTGCTTTTTTCCAATCATTAGGAGAGTGGTTGAGGAGTACTGAATCCATCACTACTTTGGTGACACAGGTAAGATTCCAGATTCACATTTCCAGGTACCAAGAGTTCCCTCTAAATGCACAATCAAGTCAGCCTTCGTTTACGCTTCTTTTTACTGAACACAGCAGTGCCCATTGGTGTCTCTGACACGCAATCGCATCTTAGGTCGGTATTTCTCCAGGTAAAGCAGCTGTTTGGAATTGAATGCTCCCCTTCTTTTTCTGAAAATATAAGAATCAGAAACTTTATCATGGGGAAAAAAAAAAAAAGCTATCTGATTCACTGAAATGTATCATTAATCGCCTAAGGCTTTTCTGACTCCACACAGTAAAAACCAGCATATTCCCTATACAACATCACTTAAGAGAAAGGGCTGATGAATGACCAAGTATTAAATGAAGCAGCAGGCACAGATGGCATTCCTTGAAATATGCTACCTTCCTAGAGCTGCTACCATACATTTCATGACCTCTTGTCACAGTCTTTTCTTTTCTTTCCTTTTTTTTCCCCTAAGAAAAGGTTGAAAGGGAAAGGACAAGGTAGTAACTGTCAAAGAATTCTGGACAACAAAATAACATGGCTCATTATTCCAGACTGATGCCAAGATTCTATCTGAGAACCGCCATCCTGATTTTGTGCCTGAACAGGTCACTTAAGATTCCTAAGTGATTAACTGCTCCTCTATAGACTCTTCCTTGCCTCTTGGTCATAGTTGTACTTGGGAGGTATTTCGGACATCCATTAAAAGAGTCACTAGGTCTCTGAGACTCTACTACCTATTCATTTTAAAGATTCCTAGATACTCAGGTCATAATGGACAAATTCTTTAGTGTCCAAATTTGCCACCTAAATCAGAAAATCTTTAAATCTGGGAACAACAGTACTATTACAAGTTTATCCCTTGCTCCTTTTGATTTCTTCCATCAAACAATATTTTAAACCAACAAATTATTCCATACCACAAAAGGGTACCTTCCATAATTCCTTCTTCTTATATGGTCTTGCTTTATGTGTTTTGGAACAGAAAACTTCATACTCACTGTCTTATAAACTGAACTGCATCTTCATACTTCATTCCACATTCAATCAAAGCAAGTGCAACCAGCACGGGTGCTCTACAGAGAGAAACTCATCTGTAAATATCCACAACTCTTTGGAATTAAAGGATTTTTTTTAAACCCAGGATTACGTATTATCAAAACAACACAAAGCTTGAGGCTCCCTTTTTTCCGTGGACTGAAAAAGCTGCTATTTTCCTTATACAAAAGTCTGTATCACGATAGGGTCTATGGTGTTATGTACTTTTCATAAAGCACTAAATTCTACACCTTCATTAAGAGATCTTTATTTAAAGCATCATCACATTAGATCTCAAATTTTCACATTATATGTCCTCAAAAATTCTTCACTGGCCTTTAATCAATACCGCAGTAAAATAAATGACCAAATGTATCATCCGTACTAAGCTTCTCGAAATTTTCATTACAAATCCATTTTAATATCATTTCCTCAACAAATACCACAAGGTGCTAGATTTCTTCAACAAAATCCTTTCTGTGAGTTATAAGACTGTCGGAGAATTGGTAACTACAAACAATTTTCTATATATGTATCTTTTTTTTTTTTTTTTTTTTTACATCTAACAACGGACATTGAGGCCTGAGCGGGTCCCAACCTGTCCACGGTTTGGGTATGCTATCTGCCTCATAAAGCAAAGGAGAGGGTTTGTCTTCTGGGAAGACAAAGTTGTCTTCTCTGAAAAAGTGTCCTGCATAGTTGGATTTGGCATCTTCCAGGAACACAAAGGTAGGGGCTGAGGCCTCGTGAATCTGTGTTTTCAGCTGAGGTAGAGAGAGAAGACTGGGTCCTGATCAGAAAGTCCCGAGTGAGGTGTAGTTACCTCCAGGACTCATCACTGTGAACCCAGCTTGGGTTTCGTGACAGTCACAGAAGTAGACTCCTTAAAAATAAAATAATAATACACACACACACACACACACACACAGAGACCTAACAAGGGAAAGGATGCTTTTTTTTGAGAGAGAGAGATAGAGCATGAGAGCGGGAAGGAGCAGAGAGAGAGAAAGACACAGAAACCAAAGCAGGCTTCAGGCTCCAAGCTGTCAGCACAGAGCCTGATGCAGGGCTCAAACCCACGAATCGTGAGGTCATGGCCTGAGCCGAAGTTGGACACTTAACCGACTGAGCCATCCAGGTACCCTGGGAAAGGATGCTTTAAAATGTCTACTACCTGGCACCAACTCTGGACTACCTGATGAAATAGGTACTTGTTACAAAACTGCCAAGTTCAGTTAGAACAGTACCTTCACCCTCAGAATAAAGACTGAAGCTTCTGACCCTGAAGGAGAAACTGGAAAAAAAAAAAAAAAAAAAGAAAAAGGAAAACAGCAAACAAAAGGGCTAAGCGGAGGCAACAGCCTGAGTCACTACCATCTTGAGGCAATAGCAGCCTGCACTAATGTTCTGAGTCAAAGTGCACGTCATAAACTGGCATCTAATCTGCTGCTGCTGGGAGTGTTGAGGCACCACTGTACGCAGTGCTCCAGGAAAAAGGCTTAAAAATCAACGTCATTTTTCATTCTCTCCACATCTTTCAGGAGTTTAAAGTTCAGCCATCTGCTCTCCACCTATTAACTTCCCATTCATCTCAATCCAAAATTAACTACATATAGATTCTTTAAAATCTAAATCATTTTCATTTTGTTGCCTATTTCAAAGACTTAAGTCTTTGAAAATGTGAAATAAGGGGGCGCCTGGGTGGCTCAGTCGGTTAAGCACTCGACTTCAGCTCAGGTCATGATCACAAGGTCTAAGAGTTTGAGGCCTGCATCAGGCCTGTGAGGACAGCTCAGAGCCTGAAGCCTGCTTTGGATTCAGTGTCTCCCTCTCTCTCTGCTCCTCCTCCACTCACGCTCTGTCTGTGTCTCTCAAAAACGAATAAATGTTAAAAAAAAAAAAAAATTTGAATATGTGAAATGAGGAAAAAAGGAACTATACTGAATTAAGACCACATTTTTTAGCTCAAATAAGATAATTACATTAAATCAGTTTCAAAACAATTTCTGAGTGATCATCTACTAAACCTATGACGGCATTAGAATCAAGACAACCAATGAAACATAAAAAGCTGTCTTAGGAAATCTGCATCAGTTTTTGCTCTCATTTCCTTTTCTTTCAGACAATTTAATATTTAGTGTAATAAATACAAATTTCTACCAAAGTGAAGTTTTTGATCATGAACTCACAGACAAACAAGCAAGAGCTTACCTTCCCAGTCCTGCAACACAATGCACTGCAACACAACAACCTGGCTCTTCACGAAATTTGGTTTTTAACAGGTTCAGCCAATCGTCTACTATCTGATTAGGGGGTGGTGCTCCATCATCAAAAGGCCAGTCCTGGAAAGGAAAGATCTTTACGTTAAATTGTTAGTTTTTCCAGGATAATATCCCTTGCAGAATAGCTGCATAGTACACAGGGTGGGTCTAAGTGAACCAACTGTACTTTATATACCTACTCTTAATACTGTAATTCTTATTATCACAACTGAAAAATGATCCAAGACCAAAATTCCTTCTCAAAGACACGTAGTCAGCATTGTAAATATCTGATTTCATCTTACAGAAATCTCTTATCAATGTGGTAAGAAACTAGTGTTCCTCAAATATTTTATCTGAATAAAGCAGTAATTAGACACAATAGAGAAAACTATAATTAAAGCTGAGACAAAGTAAAAGAGGATAAACACCTGTCAGTAGGTGTTATCTTCCTTCCTACCTAGCAAAAGACCTAAGAAACCAACATAAATCAGCTTTAAAGAAGGAGGGGAGGGGAACCTGGGTGGCTCAGCTGGTTAAGTGTCCAACTCTTGATTTTGGTTCAAGACATGATCTTGCAGTACATGAGGCCAAGCCCAGCGTTGGGCTCTGCTCAGACGGCAAGGCTTGGGATTCTCTCTCCCCGCACCCCCCATCCCTACCCAGTTCGCACGCGCGTGTGTGAGTGCATGTGTGCACGCGCACACGTGTGTGTGTGTTTTCCCTTTCTCAAAATAAACTTTAAAAAAAAAAGAGGGGAAGGGAATTCACATTTTGCATTCTCTCTCTTCCATCTAGCTTCAAGGACAGAAATGCAAAAACACTGGGAATTTTTTTTTTTAACATAAGATTACCCTAATGAGACTGGATAAGGACACTTTAAGATACTAAAGAAAGAAAAAGAGATAAGTGACAAAACACTAAATTGATTCTACCCTCATTATGGGCACCTCTAGGACACTTCATGTAGCCCATTAGCCATGACAACACATTATGTTTGATTTGTCAACTACACCCCATAATAAAAGGGCTGTCAGTGTTACCATTAAAAATGTCACCATAGAGTTTAACTGTAAATAGCAGTAAAACCAGTAAGTTACTGCCTTAGTTGAGAGCTTATTTCCTCTAATACTTCCTAAAATGCATCTAGTTAAGTAACAGCAGTACGAAATATACTTCACTTACTCATATAAGCAGTTTCTACCAAAAAATCGTTAAAATAATTATTTAGAACGGTATGAACTTCAAACTGACATAAATGAAACTACCATTAGTCTTTTCCAATATGCCTCTGATTTGCAAAAACATTGGGCAAAGGATTTGAAAAGTCGTATTTTGGGGACATGCCCTTATAAAGTGTTCCAAACTCTCTTTACCTACGAAAAGTAGATTAACAATCCACTTAAAATCTCTGGGAAAAGGAAAGAAATTCCAAGCTCAATTCTAAATATTGGTTTTTACATGCTTAAGTTAGACCTTTAGTTTATCTGATCACAGTGATTTAAAACAAAAATAAAACAATAGCCTAGATTTAAAGGCCTAGCATAAATCCCAGACCTACCATTATCTTCCACAAACTAATTCAAGTTCTTTAGTTCATTTCTATTTCATAAAGGTGTTTACCAACATAAGTGATTCAAACAGTCTGTAGTCAATCCACAGTTCATTTTCTCACCCCTGCCATCTGTCAAAATTGGTTTCTCATCTGACCCCTGGAGATCATACTCACAACATAGGAAAAAGAAATTTAGCCTAGTTTCGAAAGTTAAAATGTTGTTTATATATTTTTAAATACAGGGCTACATTTTATACAAGTTTCTTCTTAGGGGAACTTAAAGTCATTTAGAAATGGGAATACAAGCAAATTATTGCCATGCCATGCTATTAAAATACATTTTTAAAAAACATAATGCTTGGGGGCACCTGGGTGGCTCAGTTGGTTAAGCGTCTCAATTTTGATTTCGGCTCAGGTCTTGATCTCATGGTGTGTGGAAATGAGCCTCACATGAGGCTGTGCTGGCAGCACAGATTCTGCATGGGATTCCCTCTCCCTTTCTCTGCCCCTCCCCTCCCCAGCTTGTGCCCAAGTGCACATACACTCTCTCCCTCTCTCAAAATAAATAAACCATTAAAAAATAAAAAACAGGGGCGTCTGCGTGGTTCAGTTGGTTAAGCATACTACTTCAGCTCAGGTCATGATCTCACAGTTTCTGAGTTCGAGCCCCACGCTGGGCTCTGTGCTGACAGCTCAGAGCCTGGAGCCTGCTTCACTGTGTCTCCGTCTCTCTCTGCCCCTCCTCCACTTGCACACACTCTCTCCCTCTCTCTCAAAAATAAACATTAAAAAAAGTTTTTAATAAAAAATAAAATAAAAAATTTAAAATGCTTTAAAAAAGAACAACATAACACTTGGCTATTTTGTTTTTGTGTTTTCCCCAAAGGGGAGGTAAGGAAACTTAACAGATCAGATATGAGACAGCTGCCTTACCAAGAAGGCATTTATTTCCTTTGCAACTGACTTCCCAACCACCGACCAACCAATGCATTAAGACTATAAAAGTACCTCTCAATAAATACCCTTGTACCAATTTCTTCTTTATTACTTTCTTCCTCACCAACTACCTAAAATACCAGTGTCTTCCCACAATCAAATCAAATAGCTCTAAGACACCTAAGACTACAAGATCATTTCATTACATGTTCTTGCAATTTAGACAACTATTTAGGGAAAAATAAAATAGTGTATTTAGGGGCTAAGGAGGAAGTTGAAATAATTCCAATCACTTTATGCTCAAACTGAACAATAAAAGAAATCTAATCACACAAGAGCTTCTTAGAAATCTACCAGGAAGTGTCAGAACTTATGCTGATTACTCTAGAGCAAGATGCCATCTCCCTCTCCTTCCTTATCTCTTGTCCAACCTTTTGGTCCCCTATAAGTTATCCACAAAACATTAAGTAACAAATAGTACTTGCAAAGTGAGACAGAATACAGCTGTCCTTCAAACAACATGCATTTGAGCTGTGCAGGTCCACTCACATGCAGATTTTTTTTTCAATAAACATAGTACAGTATTGTAAATATATCTTTCCTGTTTCTTAATGAAGTTTTCTTTTCCCTAGCTAACTTTATTGTAAGATTATATTACATGATGCCTATAACATACAAAATACGTGTTAATTGACTGTTTATGTTAGTAAGGCTTCTGGTCAATAGTAGGCTATTAGTAAAGTTTTGGGGAAGTCAAAAGTCCTATGGAGATTTTTGACAGAGTGGGGGGTTGGTGTCTCTAACCCTGCATTCGAGGGTCAACTGTAATTCCATGTGACTTAATTCCTGACAGAAATTACTTTTAGTTAGATTCAAACCAGTAGCCTAGAAACAAAAACTAATTATTGCAATAATTTCCTAGAGAAAACAAAATCAAATTTCCATTTTCTTGAAATAAGTGTATATTAAATTTTGCTTTTCATTTCTTGAAAATACTCTGCATATAGACTTTAAGGGCACAAATGAAAAAAACTGCCAATCCAAAAAGTTTAAAAGATGGCAATCAACACTGTATCTCCATCTCCTAGAAGCTTAAAAAGCATACTGAGTGTCCAGTTTTAAAAACAGCTGTTTAGGGGTGCCTGGGTGGCTCAGTCTCAGTCGGATGAATGTCCGACTTCAGCGCAGGTCACGACCTCACAGTTCGTGGGTTCGAGCCCCGCGTGGGGCTCTGTGCTGACACCTAGCTCAGAGCCTGAAGCCTGCTTCGGATTCTGTGTCTCCCTCTCTCTCTGACTCTCCCCTGCTCACGCAGTCTCTCTTTCTCAGAAATAAAATAAAAAACATTAAAATTTTTTTAATAAAAAAAATAAAAACAGCTGTTTAAAAGGTACTACTAGTTGTCCATAGTGAAAAACAAAAACACTACACACTCACTAGAACGTGGATTCCTTCTTTTTCAACTGGAGCTTTATCATATGTAGCATCACAAACTCGAACCAAAGTTGTCACTCCATACTTCTTAAGTTCCTTTGAAGAAAAACAAATATAAGGAAACTTACTTTCAGAATCTGCAACCAAAACTTTAAAAATGTACTATTACAAATTGAAGCAATGAGACACCATTCTCAAAGATCAAAATCATTCTCATTGTGGCAATACATAGAATGGACACTCAAGTTCTTAATGGAAGCATCAACATGATTCGCCTTTATAGATGGCAGTTTGGTAACATGTCACAAAACCTTTGAAAGCATACATACATTTTGACCTAGAAATTCTACTTCTGAGAATTTATAGTAACAAAGCAATTAAATATATACACAAAAACTTAGGTACCAGCATGTGTAAGATGGGCTGTTTGGAATGGTAAAAAGGTAGAAACATTAATGGTCCAAAAACAGGGGAACAGTTAAAGAAAGTATGGCACACCCATACACAATACTGTAACAGCTATCAAAATAATAGTAAGAAGGTTGGGGGAAAGATTTCTGAAAATAAACTGTGATCCTAACTGTACACATACAAGCGAATATATACATATATGGAGAGAGAAACATCCAGAAGACAAGTATTAAGTGTTAAGTATTTTTAAATTTTTTTATTTATTTATTTTTAATGTTGATTTTTGAGAAAGAAAGAGAACATGAGCAGGGGACAGGCAGAAAGGGGGAAGGTAGAGGATCTGAAGCGTGGCTCCACGCCAATAGCAGACAGCCCAATGCAGTCGAACTTCTGAACCGAGAGATCATGGTCTGAGCCAATGTCAAATGCTTAACCGATGGAGCCAGCCAGGCAACCCTAAACTGTCTTTTGCTTATATATATCTTCTGATTTTTACACAGTACTTACTGCTTTTTTAATTTAAAGAAACAAAAGTGGGGCGCCTGGCGGCTGGCTCAGTTGGCAGAGCATGCAACTTGATCTTGGGGTTGTACGTTCAAGCCCCATGTTGGGTATAGAGAGTACTTACAAATAAAATCTTTAAAGGGCTCCTGGGTGGCTCAGTCAGTTGACTGTCTGACTCTTGGTTTTGACTCAGGTCATGATCTCACAGTTTCATGGGTTCAAGCCCCACACAGCAAGCTCTGCACTGGCAGTACAGAGCCTGCTTGGGATTCTGTCTCTCCTTCTAGCCCTCCCCTGCTTGGACTCTCTCTTGCTCAAAATAAATAAACTTTAAAAAAAATTTTTAATAAATAATATTTTTAAAAATAAAAGTAAACAGAAGTAATTCTGAAATTAAAATTAAAAAGTGGTATCATGTTATAAACCCAACAAACATATAATTATAGGCAGAAGCCTTGCCCCTTTAAAAATTTTCCTCCAGGGCGCCTGGGTGGCTCAGTCAGTTGAGTGTCCGCCTTCAGCTCAGGTGGTGATCTCACGGCTCAGGAGTTCGATAGCGTGGAGCCTGTTTTGATTCTGTCTCCCTCTCTCCGCCCCTCCCCTGCTTTCTCTCCCTCTCAAAAATAAATATTTTTAAAAAAATGTTTAACAAATAAAAATTTTCCTACAGTAATGCCTAATCCAGTGCCTACCTATCTTCAATGGGCCACCCACATTTTTTTATAGCTGCAGGACAGTGGCTGCTGCCACTCTTGGAGTCTATGGCCAAGGAATCCACAGGCTGAAAATAGCATCACATAATTCAACCAGGCTTAAAGGTGACTGAACAACCTAAGGGCACACAGCACAGGCCTGGAATCAACTTACGCACATTGTGTACACAAAGGTATGAGCTCTGGGAATTAGAAGTATAATGAGCAGGAACAGTGATTTTCTACAAATGTCCATCACTTGGTTAACTAAAGAGTAAAAGTTATTTTAATTGCTAAAGGATTTTATTTTTCAGAGAAAGGCCTTCTAAAACAGACACAGGAAAGTTGCTGCTATTACATGGAGTCAGTAATTTTAAAACATTTCAAAATAGAAATGAAATCCTATTAAAATGAACTCCATAGAAACCATTCACTGAAAGATTATGGTAGTTTTTTTATAGTAAATATTTGTGTCCTTATGCAAGTCAAAACCTCTTCTGGACTCCATTTTGCCATCTGTAAACTGAGAGGGATAGATTTAGAATTCCTAGGAGTGAATCCAGCTCTCTAAGTTTACTATATAAATACAGCAGAGAAAATGAAAGAACTGACATAAAAATGTTACCTATAATACCTTTCCTCCCCATGAGGTTTTGATCCTTGTAGATGATGGTTACTATTGCGAAGTAGTTCTGGAATAGCTTTTTATCAAAAGCGGCTAGAATATTTGAGGCAGACCTGGATGTTAGGGTCAGAGACAGTTCTACCACATGTTGTGTGCCTCTAGGCAAATTACTAAATTACCAAATTGCCCTGAACCTCATTTTCTTCATCTGTAAGAGGAAGAAAATAACAGTACCTATGCCTCACAGGGCTATTCTGAGAAGTAAATAATATAAGGCACAAAATCACTTACTGTAACACTGAGTGCATACTAAGTATCCAACAAATATTATTTTCATTATTAAAAATATGACAAAAGAATTACATAGAAAGGACATTAAAAAAAAAAACAAACAGCACTAGATAATCTCCCCAAATTCAAATTCGATAAATGTTCTTTTAAAAAACTGTTGTAGGGGCACCTGGGTGGCTCAGCTGATAAAGTGCCTGACTCTTGATATTCTCTCTCTCACTCTCTCTCTCTGCCCCTCCCCTGCTCATTCTCTCCCAAAATAAATAAACTCTGTAACTATTTCAACCCAATGCAAAGATTGGGAAGGATGACCACCCATATTCCAATCATAGAAATAAATGGCTTAGTGATAAGAGATTTATTAACAGTGTTCACTTATAATAGAACTTTGCCTATATATAAATCAATCCAAAAAGCAGACCACGCTACGATCTTACCTCTGTGAACTTGTTGAGGGTAGCATTGGTAGGGTTGTGAGTTATCAGAAAACGCATGTTCTCATAGGAGATCTCCACAGGGGCTGGACGGTTCATTATGGCAAATAAAAAGTGTGAGCGTGCGTGTGTGGGTGTGACGGGGAAAATGAAAAAAAAATCAATAAATCTTGAAATGTTTCACAGCAGAAAACATTAAAAAGACCACTAAAATGCCTAATATCGATCAGTGTTTTCTCTATTCAACTTGTTTATTCTTTAAGAAGCTTCTCTCTTCAAGGTAAGCAGAAGTATTTAGAATCCACTCCAATCCAACTTGGGCCTCAATGTCTGCAGATGGATACCTTCGGACTCCAAAAATTCCAACTACATACAAAACTGAAGTAGCCTTTACTACATTTAGGCACTAGTGAGACAAGTTAAAAGTGTAGGTTGCTTTCCACTTTTGTTTACTTGATGCTTAATTTTACTGGAGTCATTAAAAGAAATATGCTTGCAATAAAAAAAAAAAAAAAAAAGCCAACTATGTCTGAGGCCAGTCTCGGTGTCCAGAGTCGTCAAGGCAATGTTAATTATGGCACATAGAACCCCCAAGCTCACTTGTCAGCGAAAACGCTGTGCTGAGCCTGGCAGAAGTCTGCCCTCACGCTCAGAATCGCCATAAATGTGCAACGTATATTCCAACGGAAAACCTAGAGGAGAAAAGCAGAAGTGAAATGAACAGAAGGTTGATAGCACAGTAAGCATGATGCTCAAAGTCATGAATTATTCTCTTTGCCCAAAGATATCTGAAATGCTGAAATGCCACCAATTTTTGATTACTGTCATCTATTAAGACTAGGATAAAAAGGTTTACCAAGAGTTTTAAAAGTCAGAAATTCAAAAGTCAAGTATGTTTTTCCTTTTCCAAAACAGGATTCAATAAAATTTCTATGTTAATAAGATTATTTGTAACACAAGTCATTTTTAAATGATTAAATTTTTAAATTCATTTAAAATACTTATTAGGGGCGCCTGGGTGGCTTAGTCAGTTGGGCATCCGACTTTCGCTTAGGTCATGATCTCGCGGTTCGTGGGTTCGAGCCCCGTGTCGGGCTCTGTGCTGACTGCCAGCTCAGAGCCTGGAGCCTGTTCCGATTCTGTGTCTCCCTCTCTCTCTGACCCTCCCCTGCTCACGCTGTCTCTCTCTCTCTCTCTCTCCTAGAAATAAATAAAACATTAAAAATAAATAAGTAAATAAAAAATAAAATACTTATTAAAAGATCCTTAAAGAACCTTCCATTTACAGGCTCTTCATAAAGTTCACAATGATCTTACTGTGTCTTTCACATACACACTTTGTTTAAAGTAAGATATATCTGGGGGCGCCTGGGTGGCTCAGTTGGTTAAGTGTCTGACTTCAGCTCAGGTCATGATCTCACAATCTGTGAGTTCAAGCCCCGCATCAGGCTCTATGCTGACAGCTCAAAGCCTGGAGCCTGCTTCGGATTCTGTGCTCCTTCTCTCTCTGCCCCTCCCCTGCTCGCGCTCACTCTATCAAAAATAAACAAACATGAAAAAAATAAAATAAGATATATCTGTAAATGGATGAAGGATATCTACCAAAATTCTACTTTGAGGATTTAATTCTATCCAAAGGATAAGCACTGGCCCCCAATTATAACACTAGTCCATAAAGTACTTTTCAAAAACTGAGCTTATTTTCCTCACAACTCTGAGTACTTATTGCTACCAACAAGGAATGAGGAAAGAGGATCAGAACAGTGAAATGACTTGTCTAGGTGAATGTCTTCTGTTAGCAATGTTTTTTCCGATGTACCACACATAATGCCTGCTGCCTCAACTAACAATGAATCCCATCATCTCATTTTGAGTCCAGTTTACCTTTTTACTATTTCTCACATCTCTATCTCAAGAGTACAAAAGCATCTAAAGGTCATTGATTCACACAGCATTCTTCTGCCCAAATATTAATCCATCCCAAAAGCAAGACAAAAAAGTGGCAGCATTTTTAATATTATTTTGGGCCTGCTGTTTTGAAACACTGTAACCTTTATAGTTAGCTTAGTCAGAGTATCAACATAATCATAAATTGCTCTGGGGATGCCTGGCTGGCTTGGTCGTGAGGCTGGGAGTGAGGGTTTGGGAGTTCGAGCCCCACCTTGGGAGTAGAGCTTACTTTAATAAACAAACAAATCTAAATAAATAAATAAATAACTCTGGAAACAGGGACAAGGTCTAAGTTCTTTCACTTGCCTCTTCTCTAAGCCACCAGTAAATGCTTATTTAGTAGTCTCTGAAAAGATGATTGTGACCAGATAGAAAAAGACATGAAAGATAATGGCTACAGAACCATTTTCAGGAAGAGACTAAAATACATCTAAGAACCTAAGCTTGCAAACTTTCAAGCCTATTCTATCCACAAGTAGTCTTTTTATGATACTCTTATGGCACCGTCTTTTGTCAGTGACATACTTGTGACCATATCACCATGGACACAAGCACAAAACTAAAACATTCCTAAAACATGAAAGACACATAAGAAATTCAAAATGGCATTTGAAGAACTTCAGTACCTCAGCAGAAGTTATACACTACAGTTAAAACATGAAACTTCTATACTCAAACTAAGAAAAACAAAAATATACACCACCACTTTCCTAACTCCTAATTCTAACTCTAACCGCAAAACACAGCCATCTTAGATTACACATTTCATAGAGTGCTACTCCCTGTGCAGTCAAGGAATTTTAAAGCTATGAGAAACTTAGAGAGCAACTACTCTGACCTTTAAAGGGGGTGGGGGGGCAGGAGTGATGTTTGCGGGGAGGAAGTTAAAATGAGTTAACTAAGACCATATCCCTAATAAGTAGCAGATCAAGGACAAGAACCCAGCTCTCCTAACTCCATTCATGTTTCCAATTTTGACTATGGAGGTACCCACATATTTTTCAAGTCATAATTTTTTTCATGTAACTGTAACTTTTCTTCAAATATTTGCTTGGATGTTGATCTGCAACTCTGTGACCTTAAATAAGGGGAGAAAAGAACAATGGTCTGTAAGCAGTGAAAAGCAAAACACAAGGAAATTCTAACCTGTTTGAATCCCTTTGGTTACCGATGTTATCACAGCTAATATGTGTGTCAGCTGAGGAAAGGCACTGAAAGACCTGCTTTGTAGTGATGACCAGGCTTAAAAGGTTATAGCTCTAGCATTAAGTTTTCTACCTAGTCTCCAGTGTTTGTCTGCTCAGCAAACAGAACAAATGTTATCCCATCTTACTCCTCCAACCTCATTTTAGAAGGACCACTTCCAAGGATAAGGATAATTCATTATTAGATTTTCAATTCTTAACACCATACTGAGATCCCCAGCAAAGGAATTTCCGCCAAATCAAACAGTATGTTCTATCAATGTTAAGAGATACATGATAAAAACAAGCTTCTATTCCTTCTCCAGCCCCCCACCCCAGTTCAACTACACATCAACAGTTAAATGCTCTTGCACCTGTCAGTTCAGATAAACTAATGTTAACTCCTGTAACAGACAGAGGAACACAAAGCAAGCAGTATATAAAAAAAAAATGCACACAGCTGGAAAATACTCAAAAGTTACAAAGGACTATTATTTCAGCATACACTCAGCACCTGCACATCTTACAAGAAAACTTTCTTCTAAAGCTGTCTCACTGGCATTAAGTAATGTTATCTTTTAGAGAACTTAACTTTTAAATGTTGAATTTGGGACATTTCCTAGGCAACATTTCCTTTTTTAACAAAAGATGGTAACTTCACTGCAGGATTAGAAGGAATGGTCTGTGACAGACATCCTTTTACAAGTTTTTAACTTTTTTTTTTTTTTCTTGAGAGAGACAGACAGAACAGGAGCAGGGCAGGGTCAGAGAGAGAAGATGACACAGAATCTGAAGCAGGGTCCAGGCTCTAAGCTGTCAGCACCAAGTCCGACGCCGGGCTTGAACTCATGAACTGTGAGATCATCTGAGCCAAAGTTTTAACATTTAACCAACTGAGCCTCCCAGGTGCCCTGTAATTTAAATTAAAGAGAAGAAGAGAGGGAAGAGAGAAAGAAAAAAGAATAAAGAGACTGGAAACAAGTGAGCAGAGGCCTACCAAGCTAAGATAGTGTACTGCCAGAAAGACTAAGTCAGTAACACTACAGAGACTACTTAAAACTTTGAAAAGGGGTATATTAGAGTTTCAACGTCCTGTGTCAAGTCTAGTGCTAACATCTACCTATATGAGAATCAAAAACCAAAACGCATAAAATTTTACAATAACCATCATATAATCGTGGCATATTCTTAAAAAGGAAACTATGCCAAGGTTAAAAAGAATAAAACAGATCTATATGAACTATGGAAAGATGACTAAGAGACACTAATAAGTGAAAAGAGCACATGATAGTATGAACAGCATATACAGAAATATCTATGAGTGCTATATAGCTTTCATACCCATGAACTATTTGGAAAGTTACAAAGAGGTTAACGGTGGCTGTCCAGAGGATGGAAAGGACTGGAGCTAAAGGCCAGAATCCTGATTTACTCTACCATAATACATACCTTTTGAAATGTTTTGTTTTTCCCATATACATTTTTTTTTTTTTTTTTAATTCTGGGGTGTGGGACACCTGGGTGGCTCAGTCAGTTAAGCATCTGACTTTGGCTTAGGTCATGATCTCTCCATTCATGAGTTCAAGCCCCACATCAGGTTCTCTGCTGTCAGCACAGAGCCCACTTCAGATTCTCTGTCCCCTTCTCTCCGTCCCTCCCTCATTGTGAGCACATGTGCTCCCCTCTCTCAAAAATAAATGGAACGTTTTTAAAATTAAAATAAAATAAAACTCTAGGGCAATTAACAGCCCTACAATGATTTACAATTTACATTCTCAGAGTGCCTGCGTGGCTTAGCACATTAAGGGACGACTTTTGATTTCGGCTCAGGTCATGACCTCACAAGTCGTGAGATGGAGCCCCACATCAGGCTCCATACTGGGCTGTGGAGCCTGTTTAAGATTCTCTTTTTCTCGGGGCGCCTGGGTGGCTTAGTCGGTTAAGCGTCCGACTTTCGCTTAGGTCATGATCTCGCAGTTCGTGGGTTCAGGCCCCGCGTCAGGCTCTGTGCTGACTGCCAGCTCAGAGCCTGGAGCCTGTTTCAGAGTCTGTGACTCCCTCTCTCTCTGACCCTCCCCTGCTCACGCTGTCTCTCTCTCTCTCTCCTAGAAATAAATAAAAACATTAAAAAAAAAATTAAAAAAAAAAGATTCTCTCCCCCTCTCCCTCTGCCCCTCCCTCACACGTACTCTCTCTCCCCACCCACCCCCCAAAAAACAAAAAACTACAACTTACATTCTCAACAGTGCTACAACCATAGGATTACAAAGAGCCTTAAGAGAGAGCTAGTCCCTCTGTCCCAGGCAGGCCCACACCTACACAATTCCTGACAGTTTTCTTCTTTGTTAAAAATATTACATTATTGGGGCACCTGGATGGCTCAGTTGGTTAAGCATCTGACTCCTGATTTCAGCTCAGGTCATGATCTTACAGTTTGTGAGATCCAGCCCCAAATTGGACCCACATTAACAGCATGGAGCCTGCTTGGGATTCTCTCTCTCCCTCTTTTGCTCTGCCACTTCCCCCACTCATGCATGCACATGCACTCTCTCTCAAAA